CTTTTTCTTTGAGCTAAATCTTTAACCATTTGCGCCTATTAACTTGCAGCCTCCGTTTCTCTTTCTCCTCGTTTCACTCGCTCTCTGTAAATATAAAGCGGAGCCGTGGATATAGCCTATTTTACATCCTGAGGATCGATCGGTGCTGGATGCAGTGTCACAGTGGAAAACAAAACGTGCCATTCGGGGTGCATAAACGCTACTGAATAAACAGAGAGGTGGGTTCACACAGTTAACGCGTTGCCTCCACTACAGGCTCAATGCGGTGCGGTCCCCTCAGGACGCATTAGGCTCAGTCCCCTTCTGACGGAAAGTAGGCTATGGGACTAGACTAAGCGTTACAGATTTAAGGCTTTCCCTTCATTTATGAGCCAAAATGTTGTCTCAAATTTGTTGTTAACAAATCAGTTCATCAAAAATAAAACAATACCACCATCAGTTAATGTGTTATAGTTGATTTGCTCTTTCACTTACCTGAGTAAAGTCTGTCAAAAGGATAAAATAAAACGTATATCCATGTCGAGTCCACCTCTTTATATAGAAATTCAGGGCTTGATGACCAAGAGTGGACATCCCATTCACGTTGTTACACTATGTAACCAATGAAGACTGAGCATCGCATATCTGTGGCAAGGTGTGGAAGGGTGTGGCTAATTTAAAGGTGCCCTTTTTTGCACATATTAATTGGCAGTGTTCAGATTTTTTTCGGGCAAAAAATGTATATTATTTATTAAAATGTATTTTAAAAATTTTGTAGTCTGACCTTGGGCCAATCCAAAGTCAAATAAAAAAATCCGTCTTCTGCCTGACTGTTTAGGTCTCTAGCCTAGTGGCTGCGTCAGTGTGTAAATGATCAGCGGACTTCAAACAGAACAACAGGACAAAAAAACTAGGGAGAACTGGAAAAAAATCTTAATAGGCTATAGCTGGTGTCTATATGTATTTTATGTTTGTCTTTGCACAGGTATTGGTGTAATGCTTCAAGGAGGGACACTGTTAATTCAGTGGATCTGTGTTACACTGGATTTAAGTTATGACAATGAAACCGCAGACAAATCGGAAGAAGGCACTATCAATAGAAAGTCAAAGGTTTAAAATGCATAGGCTAAATAAATAAAGCAATAGCTGCGTGTAACTAACAAACTAATAAACTAAGGATCTGCAGAGAAGGAACGTTCTTCTACTGTGTCATGGTCACAGTGGCACGGTGCAGCACCACGGACGCGGGAGCGGTTTTTCAGTAGGGAGTGCTAGAATACGTGCACGCGCATGTCGGGTTATGTGCACGTTCTTGCGAATGTTTATCTTCTAATTTGTGTGCAAACAAGGCATGTTATCATACATAAAATCATTTGTATTAACGACATAGACCCTCAGCAACCCCCTGCCGCGCCTATTTGTAGCACAAAGTGCGAAAATACTGTAGTGTGGTCGGGGTTGGAAAGACATCTGGTGGGGTCCCCCCAGCCAGTGGCGGACCCCGAGGGTGGGGACTTAGGACAAACAAATAAGTACCCCTACAGTTGGGGAGAAGTGATAAAATGCCCTCTGATCTGCCCCTACAGCAGAGCAAACACTGTAAAGTGCTTGTTGTCTGCACAAAGAAAACATAGCAAAGTTCTGTAATGGTTTAGTTATGAGTAAATTTGGAAGTGCCCCAGAATACCTCTGTGTGTGACAAGCTGGAATGAAGTGCCCTCATCGGTGATTTTTTTTAGTGGAAGAAAACGCTAGCGTACCTTGTCTGTGGTATAACACCAACAGGTTGGATAAGCTGCTTTTTTTTTAACTTTCAAGGAATCAAAAACCTTTTGATTTCCTGTAGAATCTACCATGCTCTGTAGTTCTAAAATTTCAGTCTCTAGATCTCTTCAAGGTTCAAGGTTCAAGGATTTTATTGTCAATTCACCATATGTGCAGGACATACAGAAAATTGAAATACCATTTCTCTCTCAACTAGTATTGGGTGCCATAACATTTAGGTACTAAAAGAGAATAAAGTAGAATAAAAATAGAATAGAATAAGAACTGGACTGATGTAATTAGGATAAATCTAAATGGTACAGCCAATAAGCTGTGACTCAAAACCGTGTACAGTCAGTGACAGTAGTGCAAACAATAATAGGAGATTGTCAGATGGTTCAGCATCACCAGTGCGTTGGTCATGAGGTGCAAATAGCATATGAGGTATAAGTATTCAAAATGACCAACAGTAGCAGATCTACCAGCAAAAAAAAAAAAACAGTCAGCAGCAGATTTACATAGAACATAACAGACGATAAAACAACACAGGTACTTTTTTTACAATTTTTTTTTAATGTTTCTGTCATGGGCCACAGTCCAGGGGCAGAGGGGGGAGGATAATGGACAGCGTTCAGCATCCTCACAGCCTGGTAATGAAGCTGTTTGTAAGTCTGGTGGAGTGGGCCTGAAGACTCCGATACCTTCTACCTGAAGGCAGGAGTCTGAAGTGGGAGTGTGAAGGGTGGGAGGTGTCATCAGCAATGCTGATGGCTTTGCGGGTGAGGTGGGTGTCTATAAGGGAAGGCAGAGGGGTGCTGATGATCTTGCTGGCTGTTTTCACTATGTGTTGCAGTGTCCTTCTGCAGGAGGCAGTATAGGGTCTGTACCACACAGTGATGCAGCCAATGATGACGCTCTCAATGGTGCCCTGGTAGAAAGAGCACATGATGGGGGGTGGGACACTGGCTTTCCTCAGTTTGCAGAGGAAGTAGAGGTGTGTTTGAGCTTTCTTGGCCATTGATGTGGTGTTGTTGGTCCAGGAAAGGTCCTCAGAGATGTGCACCCCCAGGAACTTGGTACTGCTCACTCTCTTCACTACAGCACCGTCGATGGTCAGTGGAGGATGCTTTAGAGGTTTTCTTCTGAAGTCCACAATGATCTTTTTAGTCTTCCCCACATTGAGGAAGAGGTTGTTCTTACACCAATGAACCAGTTGGCACACCCCACTCCTATAGTTGGCCTCATCATTGTTGGTAATGAGGCCTACTACAGTCGTGTCATCTGCGACCTTGACAAAGTGGTTGGTGCTGTAGGTTGGCACACAGTCGTGGGTCAGCGGTGTGAAGAGCAATGGGCTGAGCACACATTACATCTCTTAAGGCCCTGGTTATGTCTCTGGTGACATTATGAGTGCATTGTTGGCACAGCTGTTTAATCTGACATTTACCAAAGTCCTACCACTGTTGAATACAAATAAAATCAGATTTACACTCTCTGTGAGTAATCCAGAATTAATCAAAAGCAGCTCTAAAAGCTTTATCATTTAACAAAGAGGTGCTGAAATGCCAAAATGTGCTGTTATATCTGTGTGTAAATACAGAACAATGTACAAGACAATGGTCAGTAAAGCCTACTGAGATGATATAACAACCTTTAAACGCCAAAGATAACACATTATTTTAGCATTTTTAGCATAAGATCCATGAAAACTCCTCCATATATCAACCAACCTGTGTTTTTATTAACTGCCTTAACTTCTACGACGAAGCCAGATGAGGTTCTTCATGATTCCTATCTAATTAGGGGTATTCTGTGCATTTAAAATCACCCCCTATAAGATATTCATCCCCACCACAATTTTCAGTGACATCACATAAAACACTCAAAACATGTAATTGTTCCACCCCATTCATCGGCACATACACATTAACAAAAAACATTTTTACATTTTCATACTGCAATTCATTAAACAGCCCTTTATTATTTCATCTTCTTCACACGAAGAAGGCAGGAAGATTTTTGAATAAATAATAACTCCACACTGCTGGAGTTATGGCTCGGAAAAACCTTTCCATCCCACTCTTTTTTCCACTCACTTTAATTCTCTGTGTTTCTTGAACCAGGATCACATCCAACCTTTTAAAACCGATTAGTTTAAAAATAGCTCTCTTAACACCATCTCCTGCCCCATTCACATTCGAACTTCCTATTTTAAATTCACACATGGAGAAAGGTGATTTTAAAAACAACACAACAAAAGCATGTAACAGAAAAAAATAAAGGAGATGAATAATAATTTATTTCCTGATCTGTAGGATCCTCATCTCCAAAAACTCCTGGCTCTTTTTTAAGGGACCAAGCTGATACAACAAAAAGTTTCATTCTTTTGGCTTTAAACTCTTTACTTGACTCCAGGAGAGCCCTGCACAAGAATTCCTATATGCCTAGACTGTGTTTATGCATAAATGGCAAATAAAAATCATGAATCTTGAATTTCTGGCATTCCTATACAGCCAGTATTGACAGGAAGATCTCTGTACCAGCGGTCACACGCAAACCTACAGAAACTCCACTAAGGTTGACTGCAACCTCACCAAGGGCCTCAGGGCTTTTGCCATTCGCGGCCACTGCACTACTCGAACCCACAGCAGTGGCATCACTTGAGCTTGTGGTGATGGTACTGTTCAAGCCCTTTGTTCAAGCCCGGTAGTAGTGGCAACACTAGAGCCGGCAGCAGCACTAGGCATACCAGAGTCTCTGGGCAGGATTGAACTAAATGCCCCTCCATGCCACAACCAAAACACTTTATGGTTTCCAACATAGCAAAAACCATGTAGTTAAGCCCATCTACTTAAAGATAGAATCAGTTCAGATGTGTGTCCTTCAGTACCATGAAGGCCTGTCTCCTATGACCCACAACATGTTTAAGCAGCGGGAATTTACAACCCAGAGAAACCATTTTGATTCGAGAAACCAACTGTCCACACCCGGATAGATCTTTAGCCAATACATCATTTTTAAAGAATGGGGGAGCATTAGAGATGGTTAGCTGGACTACTTTATATTTAACTTACTGTATATTGTGTGGCATTTGTGTGGACGACAAAGTAAGAATTTCATTGTACAGGGAAACACCTTTCCTAACTGTGCATGTGACAAATAAACACTTGACTTGACTTGACAAGGGACTGGCACACATTCCCTTCATATCATCAAACCAATTGCAACTGTGGTGGTTAGCAATAAACCAGATTTCAGAGGTAATATGTAATGGAACAGTATGTAGTTCATATAGATATTATTTGTAATAGTTATGTAAGGGTGAGCTAAGTGTGTATGGAAGCTTGATCTGTTCCTGGCGCAGGCAAGAATATCTTGGGCTGTGTCCCCCTTGATTAACTTATGGGTCAACATCCTGAGTGACTTCCTCCTCTGATAGGGAATGGATATATGGATACTGCAGCTGTAGCCCGATGTGAACTGTTTGAATGCTCTGTTCAGGTTTAGAGAAAGGAAATGTGCGCCAGGTCAATGTGACCTAGAAGGTCATGTACTGGACAGTTTAGACAATGCTCGGAAGAAGGTGTGTGTGTGGGTAGCTGGCATGGGACCGCGTCTTCATGGCTCCGGC